TATATTCCAAATTTGAATGAAAACTGACAAAGCATGTCCAAGATACCACATTTAAAAAAACAAACAAGATGCCTGATGATCGGCCATCTTTGATCCCATTGCTAAAGAAATTGTCATGAATATGTATCCTAACATGTATAATCTATGTATCAAGTTTGAATGAAAACCGAAAAAGCATGTCCAAAATACAACATTTTCAAAAAACAAGATGGCTGCCAGTCGGCCATTTTCAACATAAAGTACTAGGCACATGCAAAGAATAAACAGAATCGGGCGAAAGGATTCTGAAATATGACTCTGGACGGACAGACGTGCAGACGGACGGACGAATGCACGGACAGTCGGAAGACATCTAGCATGCTAGTATCCTAGCATGTATAATCTATGTACCAAATTTGATTGAAAACTGACAAAGCATGTCCAAAATACAACATTTTCAAAAAACAAGATTGCCGCCAGTCGGCCATTTTGAATCAAATCACTAAACCACTGCATGTGCATATGTCCCACATAAAGTACTAGGCACATGCAAAGAATGAACCGAATCGGTCCAAAGGATTCTGAAATATGACTCAGGACAGATGCACGCATGGACGGACGGAGACCCGTTTTTGGACTTCATCCGAACAGGGACTAAAAAGGGGAAGGGATTACATGTACATTAAAACATATAAGATGATGATAATAAGAAATAAAATTGTTTACATCATTTCAGTATTCTAAAGGAAATGATTCAGGTAACTTAAATGCAAGTACATGTACATTTTTGTAAGGTACACAATAATCTTATTTTGTTACAGTTAATGTTAAACAAGCAGCCTTTTGGCTGAGAATGCACATTTCAATTAAAGAACTGAAGATATCGTTAGAAAATGAAACAAGCAGCCTATCGGCTGAGATAGCTCCGCTGTTAGCAGTGCACATTTCAATTAAAGAACTGAAGACATCATTAGAAAATGAACAATATGTATAGTATCAAAGCAATCGGACTTACAGTTTTTAACAAGAAGTCGAAAATATCACTTTTTACCAAAAATGACAAAAATATTCACCAAAA